GCCAATCGGTCCAGCGGTTGCTGAGATATAAGCCTCTCAAAAGCGTTACAGGCCGGGCCGGGCCGGGCCGCTCATACTAAGATTTTTCCGTTATATTGAAAAGACTTCGCTTCGCTCGCTTCGCTCGCTCGCTCGTAATAACGCGAGTGACTGGGGGGGGGGGTCTACAGAGCCCCCCTCCTCTTTTCTCTGAAACTGGTCCGATCGTCAAAATTCAAAAGGCGTCTGATAGCCCTGGAAAAACTGTTTAACGATGCCTAATTTCATTGAACTCAAGGTCCCCGATGACGTCACAGGTCAGCTCAAAGTAAGCATATCAGCATTTTTTTTTCTTGGCTGGCATACAGATCCAAGGCGCATCTTGTGATACCAACTGCATTTTCAGGTCAGTCCATGTCACTGACATCTGACGTCATAAGTGAACCTCTGCACGGTCCTCAGATGTCACAACTTCGCAACGCCCTCGAGGCGCCCTCGAAGTGCCAGGGGAGCTTTCACAGGGAGATGAAACTTACAGGATGTAGTAACCCCCTGGGGTCTCACACCTTGTATATCTCGGATTGTTCCCAAAGGTCACATAAGGTCAGATTGGTCAGGTGACCTCACCATTACAAGTCAACGGGGAAAAGTGAAATCTGCCATTTTAGTGACGGGAACGATCTCGAACTATGTAAAGCACACGGAATCGTGATTTCATGTAGGTACTCTTTACAAGGTCCGATGCTTTGACCGTTTTTTTTTACCTAACATTGACCTATTGACCTGACCTCCACCAGGGTCCAGGAAGTGACCTAAACCGTTTCTGATGGTTATATAACCAGCACCATTGAGTTGGAAATGAACAATTTTGGCCATAAGACATGCATCGCACAGCCCTAGTAAAATTGGGTTAATGTGCTGACCCTTGGTGACCTGACCTGTGATCTGACCTGGTATTATCAGTGACCTCTAATCAGTATGTGTACCAGGCAACTGACGCCCTATCGCTGATTTTCGATAAAATGTGTTTTTCTCGATGTTATAGCCCTCGCCCCGCTGGGGGGGGGGGCAATTTGGCCCCCCTTGTGGTTTTTCCGAAATAGCAAGACGCCAAATTTTCAGTACATTTCCGGGCATCAATTTGACACCTTCAAACCATATTTCAAGTCTTAGGTCACCTTAGGCCAGGAGTTATTGAGGTCAAACTGAGGTCATGTTCGAGCAAAAATGAGCAAAAAAAAATGAAATGTTGAAACGCTCACAAAAGCTACAGTTACCTAGCAATTTCAAAGTTCTTTATATGGTAATGTAGAAAAAATAGCGCTACAAAACTGCCATCTTGGATTTTCAAAATTATTGGATTTTGACCCCCGAAAATTCAAAAAACTGATTTTTTTAGAAAAACTAAAAAATCAGTGTTTCCGAATTTCTAAAAAAAACGGAATATTTGTGATAGCCCCTGTGCTCTTCTTTACCAATACATACCAAATTTTAGATCAATACCTCCTTTTTTGGCCAAGTTATAGCGAAAACTTCAAAATTAATGACGTCATATAGTTAAATTCAACTTTTAGCAATTTTAGACCACGTAGCGCAAAACAAAAGCCACCATTGAACTCCCCGTGACGAGCTGCATCAAATCGATACCCATCTTATGCAAAAATATCAACTTTAAAATTTGACCTAATTTGACCTGACCTTGACCTGACCTTCACCGGAGCATAATCTTAACTGACCCCAAAGGCTGCCTGACCCACATAATCGTATTTGGCATATAAAATGGACCATAAAACATGCCTCACATAATACTTTCATATTGTGACCCTCAGTGACCTGGCCTCTGTGATCTGACCTGGTATCGGTGACCTCAAAAAGCAAAATATGCGTTTGACGAACATTTTCCCATCGATACTTTTCAACGAAATGCATTTTACCCGATTTTATAACGCATTTCTTGAAATGCCTGTAAACGGTGAAAATCCGACACTTGACCTGACCTGTGACGTCATCAGTTTGACCTAGGTCAACGAAATTGGGTCACAAGGTGATGGGGCTACCTTGTGACCCAATTTCGGGGGACTGACCCAATTGGATAGCCCCTCCAACACCGTTTGCCGCTTGTCGCTATATTACGTGGTTCTAGAGATCTTAGGTGGGGGGGGGGGGGACCCGCTGGGCCTCCGCGCCACCCGCCGGCCGCTGCACGGGGGGGGGGGGACATGTAGTTGCCCCCTTTACTTCTGCAACAATATCGTTGCAGGGCGAAGAGATAGAGAAGCGAAACTTTGCACACATCTTCCTGAATGCCTAGGCAAGGTTGTGTCCAAATTTGGTGTCGATCCCATTTGAAATGACGTCACAGTGACGTCAAAAGTCAAATTATAGATTTGCGACTTTCAGTGTCCTTACGATATACCCGATATATGAGACCGAACATAAAGGACCGATACTTGGTCAGGAACTAGGTCAAATCAAAGTCTACTTAGATGTTCAAGGATGACAGCAGGTGCTGTTTAGTTCATTTACAGTTGAGTTTCGTGCTCAGCGACATCAGGAATGGTCCATATCTGAAAACGACAAAACTTTCTGACGTCACTGTGACGTCATCTTAAGTGCTACAACCACCAAACTTTTTTCCAACATTGCCTCGGCATTCATGTGAAGCTATGCCAAGTTTCGTTTTGAATTCAATTTTTTAGCGATTCTAGACCACCTAGGGCAAAACAAAGACCACCATTGAACTACTCGTGACGAGTTGCATCGAATCGATAACCATTTTATGCAAAAATTTCAACTTTGAAATTTGACCTAATTTGATCTGACCTTGACCTGACCTTGACCTGACCTTCACCAGAACATACCTAATCTAAACTGACCCCAAAGGCTGCCAGGCCCACATCATCGTATTTGACATATAAAATGGACCATAATACATGCATCACATGATATTTTCATATTGTGACCCTCAGTGACCTGACCTCTGTGACCTGACCTGGTATCAGTGACCTCAAATAGCAAAATATGTGTTTGAAGAACATTTCCCCATCGATGATTTTCAATGAAATGCATTTTACTCGATTTTACAACGCATTTCTTGAACTGCCTGTAAACGGTGAAAATTCGACCTTTGACCTGACCTGTGACGTCATCGGTTTGACCTAGGTCAATAAAATTGGGTAGGGCGCGTTTCTCGGCAGAGCCCAAAGGGGCGCGGGTTAAAAGTACCGCACAAAGTGGCGGTGGATCCATCAAGCCTGACCGAGGAAGGACTGCTAAATTTGAGTCACCGAAGCAATGGACATCCTCGTCCATTCCCCTGGTCAATTGGTTCAGTGACGTTCAAATTATAGCAGGCCCTTCCTTGGTCAGGCTTGATGGATCCACCGTCACTTCACTTTTAAGACAGACTGTACGGTCAGGAGGGCGCCGACAGGTCAGGACTCAGGAGAGCCCTGTACGGTGAAAAAGGCACCGACTTGTCAGGAGGGCGCTGAAGGTAGAGGGCACCGTTCTGGAGGGCGTTGTATGGTTAGGAGGCCGCTATACAGTGAGGAAGATGGCGACAGGTCATGATGGCTTACCGTCGACGGCGCCTAGGCCCTAGAGTGTTCTGTGCTGGACACTGGAAAGGCGCCTTCGGTGCATGTGTCATAGCTATGTCTGTCATAGCTACACCGACTTATCGATCGCTTTGGAACTTTCAGCCATTGATAGGAGCAATAATAAAACGTATGTCTCGGAAATTTGGTATTGGTGACCTAAGGTCAGGTCAATTTTGCGACCTCCCCATTATAAGTCAATGGGAGAAAATTGAACGGCGCCTCTTTTGGACGAAATCCATTATAAACACTCTCGAACACTGAATAAGGTACAAGTAACTTTGACACACTGAGCATGAAAATGGCACCCGTAGCCCCCTGCATTTATGCCCCTGAGGTCATTTTAGGTAATGTATGGTGTCTAACAATTTTTCGCTAATAACTTTTGATAGAGGCATGCTAGAGCGATAAATACACCTTAGATATGTCCAGCTCGACGATACGGATCGACTGATATGCAGCATGACCCTTTCCAGCCAGGTCATGACGTTAACCGGAGGTCAAATTTTTAGTTGACCTTTCAAGGTCAAGTTCATTCGATGCGTCTTGACGAGAGGATTACAATGTCGGTAAAAGTAAGCTCGTGCAAGGCTTGAGTCGAAAGTTATTGCAGACAAAGTTTCCGAAAAAAATGGTTATTTTGGCAGTTTCTGCATCTCCTGCAGGCAAAACCGTTGACGCTAGGTCAAATCTGACAGAAATGCTCAGAAAGAGCGTTGATTTGGACTAACGGCTACCGGCTATCGAATGCGCTTGCCGCTTTTCCGCGGCGCATTAACTCTATTGGTTCCCGTGTTATATGTTGGCTTCTTGCCCATTGCCCTTGGAAATTGTCGACATTCGACCTGAAAATCGGCGAAATTTTGCCTTCAATGACCTCTGGTGACCTGATCTTTGACCTGACCAAAAAAGTGACCGAAGTGATTTCTTCATTATTTTTGGTGTTTTTTTTTTTTTCACACGCCGCCTTCCGCGTATCGCTACGTGGCCCAGGAGCCGAGTTAGCGGGCGGGAGGGGGGTCAACCGTCAACCCCCCCCCAGCAAGACGTTGAAATACAGGACCCCCAGCGGGGCGCGCAACTGAAACCCCATGGGGCTTGGCTTCGGTTATGGAACGGGATTGGCCGGACGGGCGAACGGGGGGGGGGGGGGGCAGTGGGCACTGCCAGTGCCGACTTTTGGTCCCATTCTTTCCATGCAACGCCCATAGGGCTAATGTTAAAATGCCAAAATCAAAGCGGGGCACGGTGCCCCGGTGCCCTCCCCGTTCCGCCGCCTATGGGGGGCCGACGACGTCGACGACGTAGAATCTTCGTCGTCCGAGAGACTTCGAACGCGGGTTTTGTACATTGAATAATGCAGTAAAATAAGCTGCGCCACTGCCCGTAAAAGCAGCGCAATAGCTGTCGACAAAATCTGGTGCCACACATATAGCCTTGTGCCACACGACGACGGCGGGGCGGTTATTCGTTATTTGCTGGTTGCCCCCCATATATTTTCATAAATGGTGGAAAATTGTTGTGCATACCACTGCAAAATTTGGCATGACTATTCCCACATCAATTTTACACATGGCATGCAAGTTTGAACCTCCGAACCCGCGAGGTCAGGTCACCAGGTCACACTCACAGCCCACAGGATGACCCGACCTCAAATTACTGTTTAGCGTTCTGCAAATTTGTCACTATCAGAATTCAGAGCTACAGTAAATGATCGAGTCCTTTCAAAGTTTCAGGATGTAATAAGGCCATTGTTAGCTACAATATGGGTCGGAGAGGCCATACATGATACAATATGAGTATCTCAGAATTTTTTATTGATGGCCTAAGGTGCCTGCCTGTAAGCTGCCTGATTTAAACATGTCGTAATGGCCCATCCTTACCTCGTGCTCTTTCCTCGCTGGTTTCCATCATGTCTTGGGTTTCAGGATAGCAAGAAGGATCAAGGAAGGCAAATGAGGAATCACTTCTTAGGGCCCCACGCTAGTGTCAGAGGGCCCACGCCCTATTCTGGCCCTTAAGGGTCCCCAAAGCGGCTTCTGAGGGCCCCACAGCCTGTGGGGCCCTCAGAGGGGTATCTTCGCTCCAGAGGATAGTGTGGGCCCGGCCCACACTATCCTTTGGGCTTGACCTCGGCCTCTAAGACCTCTGGGTACCTACGTCCTACCCTATCTTCACACAGCACCTTTAAGATAGCTTGGACGTGGTTTAACTGTATATGCATCCGCTTTGGCCAGTACTTTAGATGATGCTCTGAAAGCCATTTATTATGAGACATTTAAGTAGCCCAGATGGTCCACTTGTGTGAAGCCAAGGCGGGGTGGGGGTGGGGGGATGGCCTCCTGACCTTTCCTGGGTGCGTCACTGAGCATGACCATCAGATCCTGCTTGTAAAATAACCTCTAAGTCAATACCCACGTAGCATAAGAATTAAGATGACCCCTCGTGACCTGAGCTGACCTGACATGACCTTGGCCTCGAATTAATGCTTCTGCAATTAAGACCAGGATGCAGAATAACCACTACCATCAAAATAAGTGCAAAATTTATCCTTGAAGACGCATCACAATTATTGCCGATTGTCTCAAAGTGACCTTGACCCGTGCTTAGTATGGCACTTATGCCCCCAGGGGGTATCTTCGCAACACCTTTGGGCTTTGAAGTCAGTAGTCACTTTGGCTGAGTTTCGGGCAGAAGCTACGGATTCCGCCGTTCTTAAGCCTCGTCATGCAGATACCCCAGAATGTGACCCTAGACCTGATTCTGACCCGAATTCTGACCTCAATCTTAAGAATGCTTAGTGAAGATCTCGTGAAGAGCTTTCAGACGCCGCCTCGTGGGGTTCGATGCGATCATTGGTTGTCGAGATAACAGAGGGGTCATATCCGACCCCCCCCCCACCCCAACGTGCTGCCGCGGGTAGGGAAATAGCCCAGGCGGTACCGGGATAAACGGCTTCTGCGCAAGCCGGCTATGGGCTTATAAGTGGCTCTTGCAATCATAAGACGTATAAATTAACTATTCACCCTCAGCATTTACCCTAAGTAAAATTTATTAGGTACGCTTTTAAGTAATAAGAATGGACTGTGTTCGCTGTGAGCCGTCTTGCCCACAATATAGCAAAAACCCAAAAACCCAGCAAAAACCTTTTTTTCTCTCCAAAAACCCACTACCTATGGGCAGAACACCAAAACCCTGGGTTTTTCACAACCCTGGAGGAGGCTTAAGTCACCCACATATCCGGTGTGTTACACACAAGAACAAAACTACATAGATCAGATGCCTTACAAGCTTGCTAAAGAATGTCATCATAAAATCTAACGGTAGAACCCATGTTTTCATTTTACAATTTAGAATGGGGTGCAGATATGCAATAGATAATGTCTCAAGCTTTCAACTCTCTCTAATTCATTGTTTATTTTCAGCTTTCATGAATGGGTTGCAGTGCATATGCAACATGCAATATACATGGGCATTCCCTTAAAGGAAATAGTTCACTTTTTAACATGGGTTTTGAACTGGAATAGCAGTTCCGTAGCCTGGGCTGAGACGAGCATAAATCAGGAGCTTTTACAGCCCAACGATCACCCTAGGCAAAGATATTCTATTTCTCGTCCCGAAAAAGGTGTCTTGCGTTGAGGATGTGTGCCTTGCATATATTTCCATCCAGTATGAAAAGAGCATGGGTCCCGAAAATTCTTCAGAAACTAGAGAAATTATCTACGAGAACTCTAGAGAAATTCTCGTACTGATCAATTAGGACATTCAGGGGAACATTATCAGATCGAGCAGATCGCCCAAATGCCGGTGGCCGCGATAATTTCTCTAGTTTCTGAAGAATTTTCGGAACCCATGCTCTTTTCATACTGGATCGCCTGTGCCTTACAGAAACTGAAAAGTTCTTCTTATATCAAAATATAGAAAATAATCTTTTGTTATAAATAGGTTTTATTTTCTTTGCTGATCATTTTGAACATAAAAAATCATAAATCCATTGCAAAAAAAAAATAATTTCGTGAAAGTGAACTATTTCCTTTAAATGCTGAACTTTTGTTCTGATCTAGCCTTACAATGAAGATGCTTTGGAACATGCTCAGTCGCTCTGGCATGAGCCAATCCTCGAAGAGCGCCCCCGAGATGGAAGACGACGAAATGCTATTCAGTAAGTACTCAGTTTCATTGTTTGTGGCTCAGTATGCCTGGATTTATTCGTTCTTCAAACATTCCTCAGACCTTTTTATCTGTCTTTCTGGCTCTATTCTCTTTACTGGATGCCCTATCTGTCCCTCCCTCACCACAATCTCCTCGCATTCACAGGCAAAAACAATGTGTGCATGCACCCGAGTTCTCCCGTCTCTACTGCGCCGCGGCACTCTCTGGGGTACCTCACGGTGACCGCCGCACCTGACCCCGTGCTGGGTCACACCCTGCTGCTCAGCTGGCGGCCCAATCAGCTGCTGATCGGAGGTGGCCTCCGGCGCGGGCAGCGCAGCCTGTCAGAGACCCAGGCGGGCACCGCGGGGTAGGTAGGCTGTGACTGGGAGGGGTCGTGGGGGCGGGGAGGGTGGAGTGGTGTCATGATCCTCAGATTGGCGTAGTGGGTCGCTAAAGGGAGGGGATTTGTTTGCAGGGTGAGGCTGATGAAGATTATGAATTTGTTTTGGATGAGTAGGCGTTGCATTCGCTTTACTGGCGTGGTACCTTACCTATAACACTGAACGATTGTCAAAGACCAAAGTTGTTGCGATTGAGTACTCCGTTACTAAATGCCCTGAGTAGTAAGTGAAAGGACATGTCAGCTCGCCAGTAATCAGTGTTTTTTTTTTTGTTGTTGTCCACAGTCTCCTTGCGGCCGGTGATGCGGCCACACGGCTCAGTCGGCATCCTGACGTCACTGGCGACACTAATGACGTCATACCAAACGTCGGTGACGTCACCATCAATGACGCTGATGGCGCTGTGTGCAACGGCGTGGTAGAACACAGCGGCGCAGATACTGCGGACTGTGCTGGTAGGTGCTGGTTTTTAGTATTTCATGTTTAATTCTTTTTTCTTCTTTTTTTTTCGCCTTGTGCTGAACAAATCTGAAAACTGTGCTGTGCAAAAGCTATTAATGTTCTAGTTGTTACATGGTGAAAAAAGAAATTGGGCATCTTGACGAAAAAAATGACTATCTCTTGTTTTCAATTCACCGCGAATTATCCTTTCAACTGTGCTTGCGTACATAATGCCGCATGTTTCATATTCTGCAATTCAGCACACCTCTCCTTTTCACTATTGCTCGCAGCGTTTGTAACACTCACTCTTTCCAGCGCCACCAAGCGGTGCTCGCCCGGAGCCTCTAGCGTCAGAGGGCGTCAGTACTCGCCTGGAGCTCCCCGCTGCAGAGAGTGGCGGCGCTGCTCGCCTGGAGCTCCCCGCTGCAGAGAGTGGCGGTGCTCGCCTGGAGCTCCCCGCTGCAGAGAGCGGTGCTGCTCGCCTGGAGCTTCCGAAGGCAGAGGGCGGACAGACGGGCCGGCGACTTTCCACCCAGTCTGCGCCACCGTCCCCCCAGGCGCGGCCGCCGCCCGGCTCCGAGGCACCGGAGATGTTCACAGTGGATCTGGGTGAGTGGGGCACTTGGGAGGGATGCACGGGATATATATTGGTCACGCCTGTCGACGCGTTCAGCGTTTCGCAGGGATGTTTGCATAGGTAATGGCTATACAGACTGTCAACGAAACTAATTCGCTCCGAAACCTCACAACAAACAAACAGGCAACGCCCGATAATGATTACATATACTCAACTGACGGATAGGCTGTGATATTGTGTGATTTAATCATTCCTCTGTGATTTTGCGTTATATTTCAACACAGCTTATGCGTTGTGTGCTCTGACCCTTGGCCCGGTTCCAGGTCAGGCTCGCTCTGTGCGCGTGTTCCTGACGCCGGGAGACCCGGGATGCGGGCAGCTGGTGTTGTGCTCCCGTCAATCGCAGTACAGGATCCTGCACTTCCACTGCGGCGGACTGGAGAAGCTGGTGTGCCTGCTGGACGGATGGAAACACCTGCGGTCGGCCGGCCCGGCGGCGGACGACGGCGGCTGTCGGCTCTTCTCCGTCTGCGGGTGAGCGAGAACACGGGGGGAGCATAATGGCTGCGTGACACTTCTGTAAGGACACTGCGATAGTTAGTTGCATACAACTCACGATTTATCTGGTAACTCGGACTGTTTTTGGGTTATGGAGAGTCACGGTGCCCGGTACTTTCATAGGGGCGTAACATGGTCGTCCTGCACTTTTTACTGGTGTGTCTTCCCGACCCGTTAAGCGGACCAGTTCAACGGATCCTGGTGTGTCTTCCCCAATTGCCGATAAACGGACCGGTTTACTGGATCATGGTATAACCTCCTCGCCTGAGTAACAGTTCTAACGAGTAGTGTCTGTCTGTTTCAAACAACCTGCGGTTATCTCACTGTAAACCGTGTACGTGATATGCCTTCCTCGAGTGTCCTCTCACTGCCCAACCAGTGTACACCGTTCCCTGACCATCTCTCGTGTCGTCCCAGTCCGTCTGAACAGGCCGACACCGACCACCCGGAGGAGGGCAGACACGATCCGCTCTCCGAGGACCTGTGGCAGCGGATGGTGGACCACGACGGACGGCTGACCGACCCCGACCACCTGAGGAGGGTGAGTGAAATACGAGCGGCGGATGGTGAGATTAGTTAGGTGCTGGCGGGTTGGCTTGGGTGCTGCGGGATCCTCCGGAGGGTGGGTGATACGGGGTCAGGGCTGAGAGGAAGTATAAGTCTACTGACAGGGAACTTGTGGGTTGATACTTGAACACCAGGCGATTGTTCGGGGGTTGCAGCAGGTGGATGGATTGTTTGTGTGTTTGTGAGCATAGTCTTGGCACTTGTAAAGTGACTTGAGCCCTGGATGTCAAATCAACAATTACATGACTGACAACGCAGCAAAAGCAGGAAAATAAATTCCTGATTTTTTGTATTTCAGTGTAGGTACAGTGAAGTGCGTCATCAATTTTTCACCAATACCTATCGTGCCAATTATGATTTTGTCGCGCAGAGCGGAATTTTATATCCATCTACCGGTCGTGACTCGGTGCTCTTACCACTCGCACAGTAACAGGTCCATTATTTACATATGCACCTAAACGAAAAATGGCTCTCCTGTAAATTACCGGGAAAAGTCGACGTAGGGGTTTTTGACTTCACCTCCCCCGTTTCTCCCCACTCAGGTGGTGTTTTTCGGCGGCCTGGCGCCGTCCCTACGCAGCACCGTGTGGCCGCTGCTGCTGGGTGTCCTCTCCTGCTCCGACTCGTACTCTGAGCGGCAAGAACACAGACACAGGCTGGCCGAGGAGTTCGAACGCATCTGGTGAGCGCTCGTTTCGACAATATGCCTAGTATATCACGGACGTATGATGTTTATGATCTGGCACAGAGCAAGCTATGCAAGATATATCACGTAACCCATGTTGGAGCGGTGTTGGGTGAGGTCTGTTATTAGGATGTGTTTAAAAATGAATGTAACGCTGGTAAGAGATTTAGTTCGGCTTGCCGCATGTTTTTCGCTTTAGATGTTTGGTAAAACTGAACTGAGTGACTTATAAGCTGTTTTACGCTTGATACGCTACTGTAACCTAGCTATGTGTTGTGCAGATGTGTTGCTCTGTGCGTGTAACCTAGCAGATGTGTAACCTAGCAGATGTGTTGTCTAATGTCCCTTTACTCTTTCAAGGGGTCCCATACCCAGTCTGTTATACCCCTCCCTGTCTGACAGATGCCATTGACCCCGTACCAAACGTGACCGCTGTTCCTCCCCCAGCGTTCTGCCTAACCATAACTGACCTATGTCTCCGTATCGCAGCGCCCTGCCGGACCAGGTGTGACCTCTGCCCCTCCTCTCGCCCAGCGCCTTGCCGGACTAAATGTGACCTTTAACCCTCCCCCCTCCTCCCCGAGCGCGCTGCCGGACGCGATGTCGCTGTCAGAGCGCGCAGAGTTCCAGCGTCTGGTGGTCTCCACTGTAGATAAGGACGTGGTACGCACCGAGCCCGGCAACCCCTTCTTCTGTGGCCGCGCCAACCCCAACGTACAGACGCTGCGGTCAGTGGCAGTGGACGGGTGTGGAGGGGAGCGTTCTTTTATTGTGTGCGAGATTATACGTTGTGTGACTAATTGTCACTCACTTGCAAATAGCACTAGCTGCGCTTAAGTGATGTAATCGGGACGATTGACTCGCTGGTACTGTTTCGTCTAGGATATAATTTTTACTGTTTTTTGGAGTTAATCAGTAATTGTAGAAATTTAAATATTTACCAAATGTATTATGTACTTTGCAGCCTTGCGAAACCACCATTCCCGATGGACGCCACTGTTCACTGATTTCGATTACTGACCCCTCCCCCTGAAGTCTGAACACTGCCCCGTCTGAGTCAGCTAAGCTAACCCTTCCCCTCGCCGGCCCTCAGGCGAATTCTGCTGGGTTTCGCAGCGGCCAACCCGTTCCTGGGCTATACCCAGGGTATGTCGGACCTGCTGGCGCCCCTGCTGGTGATCCTGGGGGAGCCGGCGGACGCCTTCTGGGCTCTGGACGCGCTCATCAAACGCTCGGCGGCGGTCATCTGTCCCCGAGATGACGTCATGGATGTTCAGCTGGTGAGACGGGTGGGCGGGGCCAGACTTTAAGGTATTTAACGCTAGGGTGGGCAAGGCTGACGGTCGGATGGGCGGGGCGGACGCGTGGGCGGGTCTGACGGTCCATTGGTAGGCGGGGTTGATGGTCGGGTGGGCGTGGCTGGGCGGTCGGATGATATGATTAATATGCACTTAACGCAGTTATTATACACAACACTACGATGGTGAAACTGTATTGGTGTACCTATGATTTATGCCGCTGTTTTGTGTATCCTATGCGTGAGGTGACTGTAGTAGGCTACCGCAGATGCATTGCTCAAATGCCCAGGCACGCCGTGACGGATGTGCGGGCGCTGTGTGCTGGCCGCTGCCCCGCTGAGTGACTGAACTACCGCCTCCCTCCCGTCCCGTGTCGACAGGGCTACCTGCGTGAGCTGCTGCGGCTGCTCACCCCCGAGTTTTACCGACATCTGAGTACCGTGGAGGACGGACTAGAGCTGCTCTTCACACACCGATGGCTGCTGCTGTGAGTAAATGGAATATGGCTGCAGCTATAGCCTATGGCCCCACGGGTGGCGAGTGTGGGTGCTGTGAGTTTGGAGTAAGGCCGCTACTGTTAGCATGGAGGTTTACCGACACATGAGTACGGAATATGACTGCTTTGGCCTTTGAGTAGAGTATAGCTACCTGTGCCTACAACGGCCGCTGCGAAAGCGATGTATATTGGCTGGGTGCTGGGGGTCGGTACACCCCACTATCGGTCATTGACAGCGTGGTTGATGTCTGTATTTCCCCCTCTCCCGTTGTCCTATAGCTGCTTCAAGCGGGAGTTTGCCGAGCCGGCCGCGCTGCGTATCTGGGAGGCGTGCTGGAGCTGCCAGCAGACGCGCCACTTTAGCCTGTTTGTGTGCGCCGCCATCTGCGCCGCATACGCCGCCGATGTGACCGACAGCGCCATGAACGCCGACGCCATCCTGTTGCACTTTACCAGTCTCAGTCAGCATATGGACGGAGACGTGGTGCTGAGAAAGGTAGGCGCCGAGTGGGAGGCCAAGGCTACTGGGCACTGGCATGTTTCCTTGACTTCTGATCAGTTTTCACGGCTGCCTAGTAAGAAGCGTATGGTTGCGTTAATAATTTTGGAAATAATCGATGTTTCTGGCTTTTGAAAGTTGCTACCATGCATTCAGCCCATCTCGCTTATCTGCATCATCAATAATCATGCCTTCGACATTTTCTATATCCCCAAAACACAGTATAATCCTCGTGTATTCTCACTCACACTCCGCACGCCCCCCCCCCCCTCCTCCGGCAGGCCCGCGGTCTACTCTACCAGTTCCTCAGTCTGGACGAGGTGCCGTGCTCACTGGCCTCTCTGTGTACTACCGAGGACGGTGCCGGGCCGTGGGCCGGCCGCCGGCTGGCGCCAGTCGTCTGTAAGGGGCACGGCGGGGGAGGGCGCTGCCCGGCGACCAGGTGACGGTCCGCGGGTCTCCGCTCCACCGCCGGCCTAGGGCTGACGCGGGATGTGATACGGACTCCGGCAGGGGAGTCACCTCAGTCGGCAGTGACAGAGACGCCGGATGTGTCTCCAGTGGCCAAGACTACGTTGCCTTTTTATCCGGTAGTCAAGACGTCACCTCTGTCGCCATTGATTGAAACGCCGTTACTAGCTTCAGTGAAAGCCACGCCGTCTGTAGCTCCCGTACCGGAGCTGGAAGAAGTTTCGACCCCTCACCGAGTCCCGACTGACGCCACGCCAACCGCCGCCGGGCCATCCTATGTTCCTGCTCTGGTCGGGACGGTGCCCCGCCTGAGCCGCCTGTGCTGCGGCCTGGGCCGATCTCCTGCTCCCCAGCTGGCCAGACCAATTGCCAGAAGGGCATGTCGTGGGAAGAGCACCTGGGTGTAACGGCGCTAATGCAACATTCTAGTCACAAACAGTATTTACTCATGGGGCTGCTTATGTGCATGCAAGACAGTGCTTAAACATGTGGCCGCTTGTCGAAGCTGCGAACGCTACCGACACTGAAGGTTTTGTACGACGTGATGCTACCGATTTCCACCTGAATGTGTAGAAAACCTAGATATGGGGTTGTGATTTTACAGTGATATTATTTATTTATTTACATGTAGCGGGCTGCTTTACACAAGCTAAAGGGAGTGTTGGATGTGACTCCTAGGGGAATGCTAGTCCAAACTTGGGACAGCGGATAGGTGTAATGTGTAGTGTGCTTGATTAGGCACAGATGGAAAGAACAGTGTGTAAATTACAGACGACAATCATATGTAAATGCGTCAAGATCCAAAGGCTGTGTTCCCGCCACGTAAGATAGTGCGTGCCCGCATCCATTTTCTCGACGTACTTACGCTATTGATGCCAAACCCAACGTCAAGAATCTCAGTAGCAACAATGACAACTACTGCTTATAATGTACGAGACTCGTGGTCTGTCTCGATTCAGTCAATGCCGAACCGAAAATATATGATCAAGCATATGAGCATTTTATCACAACTTCATTACATCATGTCCTCGCTACAAGTAGAAAGTGGCAAACGCTGCAGCTTTTAACACGCATGGAAAATGTGACCAGTATAATTGATTTATTGCAAACTTCTCACCGCGACCGTTCACAAATGTTTCTGATCCAACACAGAGGCTTGGTCTGTTCAAGCTCAGATCTCGATAATATTTTCACTGCATCATGAGACAAGTAGCACAAAATACAATATGACAAAAAATAGACGAGACGAGGTGTCTCCTCGTCTCGTCAAAGCAGACAAAGTAGACACAATGTAGACAAAGCAGACACAATGATCGGTTCTTTGACATTTTCTCAGCCACAGACTGCTGTTGAAATACGATGGCAGCCTGTGAAGAGCAGTGACCCGGGCATGCCAAGAAATGCCGAAAGTGCCAAAATTCTGAAACATACTAAGACCTTCACATTGAGATTGATAAGCGTAGCATCCAACACCCAGCATCTAGCAAACAAGCATCCAGGCCACTTAGGGATATGGACGGCAAGACAAAATGCAACAGCAGCCTGCCGCCAAACGTAGCGAACTGTCGTCCTCCGTTTCGGTTGTTAGTCTCTGTCGACTTTAAAGCGCGGTGCGATACGCACCCGCTCCGCTGTATTCGTAAGCCGCGTCGACTTACATGATACGAATACAAACATTAACATGATGACATTAACACTTCGAAGGGCACAACACGGTTAGGACGGAAAAGCAGCGCCACGCGCTAGCTATCACTTTCAGAGATCGCATGAAGAGAGCCCTGCTAAACACAGACAGCAATAGAACACCAGGATTAGGCATCCCGGCTCAGGAATGAGGTACTCCTCGCAAGTTCCAGCACCGTATGACTGCGCTTCAGTAGTTATATCACGGAGGGAACTGGGAAGACATATTTCTTAGAACAAACGCCAGCACGCTCCTCCCTAATCCCTCCAAGGCACCTCCATCAGCCCTGGCCTCTTCTCCACTTTGTACGTTAACAGCTTAGTATAGCTCACCAGAAGCTTTCGCCAGAAACATGAAACGTCCTTCATACGCAGATTGTCTAGTATAAACTGCCTACCTCGCTCTGCAATTTCTCGCACCAGGGCGTCATTCTCTTGAGCAAACATAATTAAGTGTTCCAGCTCGTCCTGGGAAGGGTCCTGCCGAACCGGTATGTAGTGCACCCACGGCTTCAACTGCGGGTAGAAGAACTCGCTCCACTCGTCTCCCACGTGAAACACCAGGCTGCCGCAGAGGAAGAGGTGCTTGAAGCGGAAGCTGGCGGCCACGCCGCGGAAGTTGAACAGGTAGCGGAAGCGGCAGTGGTCCTCTAGAGACACCTCCTCCGCCGGCGGAGCGCCCAGGGTGTCCTGGTCGGACTTCCAGGCCTGGTTCTTGGTGTACTGCGCGTCTGCCAGCTCTGGCCGCCTCCTGCTGAGAAGCACCAGAGGGTCGCGCTCTGAGGAGGTGCGCGAGCCGCGGAAGAACGCCCGCGCCTCCTTCTCCTCCCAAGGCCAGTCCTGGGCGGCTCGAGAGATAGAGACGCGGTGTTTGTCCCAGCGTCCCAGGCCGGTCGGGTAGAGCCCGATGGCCGGCCCGCCCGTCCAGAAAGTCCACGCCGGGTAGGTGATGTCCCAGTAGTCGGGCGTCTTGCTGAAGGAGAACACGGGTAGGCGGCGCCCCAAGAACGAGCCCACCATCGGCCAGTCGCGCGTGTTGAGCACAAACTCCGTGTCTGGTAATGTGTCGATCAGCTCTAGAATAAAGTGCTCCACACCGCGGCAGCGGAACTCGAACATGCACTCCTGCTGGCGATAGAGCTTGTGGTCTATGATCTGGTACAGGACACCGTGGTCCTTGGCTTCCTCGACCATCAATTTTGAGATCTTGGTCTTTGCGAAAATCGCGAGATCAGACTTGATGACGTCACTATGACAGCCACAGTTCTCCTGCTTGCACTCAACATATTTTGCCAGACTCTTTTCCACTAGGCTGATCTCTTTTTGCCATTTTGTGTTAGATTCCTTTGTATACTTTGCCTTTTCATGTTCTTCAGATATGTGGACATCCTCTGCTTCATATTCATTACAAGAGGCAAAGTGGGTAATCAAGATGAATGATGTTGTAAGCAGGACAAACTGGACCTTCTGAGAGCCCATCATGCAACCATGAGCGATAACATAAATCTACCTGTAATATCAAACAGTTATTTAAATATCCACAATTGGCATATACAATAATGACAACAGTGATGAAAAGATCTGACAGTAGCTATGAAACTAGGTGAAGTGTTTCTCTTTTTTTAGTGTAAGCAGTAAGCACTAAGCAACTCCCATTTTTAGGAAGTATCACCCCATGATAAATTGGTTGAGCGTAGCTCAAGTCTCAACTTGTGGTGATCCCAAAACCTGTATCAGAGTTCTTAACCATTCAAGATCTGATGACCTGACCCACTAGCAGATACAAGGGTTTTTTAGCATTCAGTATTCACCCTCTCCCTGACTACCACAGCATCCAGCATTAGCATAACCTCCATGCTTTTCTTGATAAAAGAACTCTGGACTTTGACCAAAAACAACTTTGGAAATTGGAGAAACTTTCTGGAAAGTATATTTCATTCCCAAACCCATAGGTATCCCAAATCGCTCTGGATCTGCCCATAAACTAACACATAATTTTTCTTATTTTTTGCCAAAGGCCAGATCACAAATGAGTAATGACATAAAAAGTAATTGCAGCTGGCATTTTCAAATAATAAAATATTTTCTGAAACCATTAATACCCTTTAAAGCAGAGCAATCAATAGAGCTTAGGAAGCTTAGCTTTCACTTTCACCCTATCACCCTGTCCTCTTCCACCAATCCCTGTCATAAGTGGAATTTAATTTTTTTGGATAGGTATGTGCTTGATTTTAAATCTAGCATTAAATTGAATTTTCCACAAGCCATTCCAGGTAGAATTTTTGAGCTAGAAGGAATGTTAAAACTACAGTGAGCTAACTACCTATACAAAAAGTGAATCTTTCCCAGAGCTTCTAAATCTATAACCATTCCAGATTTCATGTTTCCAGTTTCCCCCAGTCTTTGTAGACCACAACCAGATAACGTAAATATATCATTCATGGATAATGTGATCAGAGAGTGATTCTTCCTCCCATGATGCATGAAGCAAGCTATGAAATGGCTTTCCAGCCAGCAGGAGCTGCTCACTTCAACTTTACTCATTACTGTTGCCAGCTACCTACTCATACTGCCTTAGGCCCTTAAACGTTCGTTTTTTTAAACACGGTCCAAGACTGAGGCAAAGGAAAAGAAGACGTCTTTCTCTGAAAAGTTGTAAGAACAAATTATTTTTCACGTTAAAACAAAGTTGCCTGTCAACTCTCAAGAGTCTCAAGCAACGGTAAAAGACAAGGTGAACACTGAACACTTCACAATGACCAGTATTGAAGCATTCAAATTTCAAGAAGAGAATATAACAACGGCAAATACTTTAAAATTACAAAGATAATAGCGCAATGTATCTACACGGATCATACTGATTCGTGGTATCTATAAACAGGTTACCCAAATACAAATCAAAATAATAACAGAGCCAAAGAAATGACTCAGACTCAGACCTCTCAACCACTCTCAACACAACAACAACACGTTGACATCTGACTGCGGCATTTTCGCCTGAACTGCGTTGTTTATGGTTTTTGAGTAAATGCCAAATCCCCTCATGTATGAAGGAAACTCTACCACTGTTGCCTTCAATGGAGCTTTCCCTTTCCCGCCCTTATTCAGGTTACACTTTTTTTGCCTGGCTAGTGGCTAGTGACTTCTATAGCCGTTTATTGTTTTTAAGTTTGAAATTATAATAAATACAATCCCAGCTTTATTTATTGTTTTAATTACAGAAGTTCGAAGCCAATGGCTACGTTTCCTTCCATGACACAAGCCAAGCCGATTTTGAAAAATGGATTTGCTCCATCATAGCATTTCAATTTAGGCATAAGATTTAAAAATGTAAATATAAGATTAGGTGCTAGCTAAAACCATATATACTCATTTTTTGCATAAGGTAAAATACTAAATAGTTTCCGAGAAAAACGCACGTGAAATTTCGCTAAATCGATTTAGACGTGTCATGGAAACGTAGTGATTACCGCCCGAGCTCTTGGCCCGAACGAAATTTGCATAAGGTTGAGGTCCGTTTGAATATCTCAGCTCATGATGGTGACTAGAGTGTAGGTACCTAAGTAGCACAAACGGTGTAAAACTAAAATGCATTTCGCAATCGCAATTCGCATGCTCAAGCCTCAGCAATCAGCTCGTCCGTTGGTGAGAGGCTCGTTTTAACCAGGCCCAGGGCACTAAAGACCCAGTAAACATGCCGACGTCGGCCCGACGTCGGGGTGACGTCGGCAACTCGGCATCGGCATGCCGACGTCGGCCCGACGTCGGTCCAACCTCGGCACGACGGCGGCTGGATGTCGGATATGCCCGCATGTACCGACGTCCAGCCGAGGTCCAGCCGACGTCGGGCCGACGTCGGACCGAGATCAATAGCTGAGGTCCAGCCGACGTCGGACCGACGTCGGGGCGACGTCGGACCGACATCGGCCGCTGTTTTGACCGTTAAAATAGTATAAAGTGCATGTTTCATGTTTCATTAAGAGCTTCTGTATTCAAAATATCCTCAGGAAACTCAAATCTTCCTCCATGCCGCAGCCCCCTGATCCGGACTGGACGGGAAACTTTATCCCATTTGGGATTGCCCGTAAGCCGAGCTCGCCCGTAGCCGGGTGCGGTGAGTGCTTGGGGGCTGCTCGGCCTATCCTTTGGTGTTGGTCAGGCTCAGCCCCGGCAACTCACCAGGGCCGGGCCCAGTTCATATAGAAAGGCCAGTCGGCAAGTGTCACTTTGCCAAAGTGCCACTTATCAAAGGGACACTTTGGGAAACGTTGGTGCAGGTGTGTAAGAGTGGCTATATGAATCCATTGTGG